ACCTTTTCCGGATTCAGCCTCAGCCCATTTTGCTGCATCCATTTCAGTACAGCCCCCAGGCAGCGCTGTAGGGACAGGATGGCATTACCTGCATTTGGTGAAAAGGAGATGTAGAGCTGGGTGTCATCAGCATACTGATGACACAAGGCTCCACACCCCCTGATGACCCCACCCAGCGGCCTCATGTAGATGTTGAACAGCACTGGGGAGATAATCGACCCCTGTGGAACCCCACAATTGAGACTCCACGGGGCCGAGACACTCTCCCCAAGCTGCACTCTCTGGGGACAGTCCTCCATTGGCCAGGCCAATGCCAGGCCACCTATTCCCAACTCAGAGAGCCTCCCCAGGAGAATACTGTGGTCAATGGTATCAAAGGCCGCTAAGATATCGAGGAGGACCAGCAGAGACACTTTGCCTCTGTCAGCCTCACTCAATAGGTCATCACACAGGGCGACCAATGCCGTTTCTGTACCATGGCGCAGCCTGAAGCCCGACTGAAATGGATCCAGGGCTTCTGTTTCATCCAAGAGCGCCTGAAGCTGGTCGGCCACCACTCTCCCAACCACCTTGCTTAAGAAACAAACATTGGCGACGGGCCTATAGTTGCCAATTTCGTCCACCACCAAACTAGGTCTCTTCCTAATGGGCCTAATGAGTGTGTCCTTGAGGGCAGATGGAAATCTGCCCTCAAGGAAAGACCCATTAATTATTACAGTGGCCCATTCTGTTGTTATCGCCAGGCTTTGATTAGCCAGGCCAGGCAAGGGTCAAGGGAGGAGGTGGTGGCACGACAGTGGTCAAGCGCCCTGGCCACAGAGTCAGGCATGACAGGCTGAAAGGAGTCAAAAATCACCGGACAAGACGGAGCGCTGGACATCTCTGCTCAACTCACTGTATTCAAAAAAGGAGAAATATGTCAAAATCAATTTAAAAGCACAACATTCTTACTATATTTAGTGTATTAATAGACAAAAGCTACTTACTTTGAGACTAAGACTGCAGCTGCATCTCGAGACTTATCGCTTACAGTAAGGTAAGACTAAAAAAAAGAAATAATCATGTTGTTAGAGGTTTACCATATTAAAACAGATTGTACACAAAGCTTGCATCCATATTCCTCACTTCTCTGGGAAGCAGGTGTGAGAATCCATGCAAAGAGTGTATCTAGCATTCATGTGACCCAAAACTGACACACGGAAACTAAATTACATCAATTCACAAAGTAAAGTGAATTTGGTCTGCTGATGTATCTTTCTTGAACCCCGAGCTTCTTCAGAAATGAATCCAGTGGGATTTATTCTCAAATAATGTGTATATAAGATGGCAGCCTCTGCTCCATAATTCAGGAAACAGGAAATAGGAAATAAGTGAGACTATGTTACACTGCAATAATAAAGGATTTCACACATCAATCATTCTTAAGACAGAGTTGGAAAATCAGATATTGTATCATTTCCCACATGATCCCAGATCAGTTCCCGTGCTAGGTGGGGCTGATGGGGTTTGGGAGTCGGAAAATATTTAGGTGTTTACAGATTAAGTACTCCAATATGCTGATTTAAGAAGAAATGTCTTCTTGTGTGTGAAAGTGGAAGAATATCTAGTAGAAATATAACTAAGGCTGTGCTTTTATCACAAAAGAAATTGCCTGTTTCAGCTGCAAGCAGGATCTCAAATAGATCTGTAAAAGAAAAGCAACCAAAAATCCCCCTCATTGCCCCCTCCTGCTGCCCAGATTAAGTACTCCAATATGCTGATTTAAGAAGAAATGTCTTCTTGTGTGTGAAAGTGGAAGAATATCTAGTAGAAATATAACTAAGGCTGTGCTTTTATCACAAAAGAAATTGCCTGTTTCAGCTGCAAGCAGGATCTCAAATAGATCTGTAAAAGAAAAGCAACCAAAAATCCCCCTCATTGCCCTCTCCTGCTGCCCGGAGGAAGTTTTCCATTTGTCTTTTATTTTTTAAAAGTGATGCAAAGCATAAGTACTGCCATTATATACTTAAAAATATTTTTCTCACTTCTCTCAGCCCCTCCATCAAACCAAGGAAGTGTTTGATTTAATAGTGTCCTGAAGTGGCTATTTTCTTAAACCACTTCACAATATGGCAAATTTACAGCAGAAGTCTCGCTTTTGGTTCATTTTCAGCTATCACACAAATTGACCAAATAAACCAAAACAAGCGATCCGACACACACAAAAAAATAGAAGCACCTGACATGGGTCAGAAAGAAGAGAGTAGGAACACTCTAAGGGCAGGCTGGTTTGCTCCAGCAAATACGTTGCCTTGATCACTGTCTTTTGGAGCAAAGTAGCCCATCCCCACAGCAGACCAAACTTGCAGGCTAAATGTTTATGCAGCCAGCCTCTAAATGGAGCCTTCCCATGCCCATCAGCCCCTGGCTGATTAAAAGAGAGCAATATGTAAAAGACATGTTCAGTTTTCAGAAGATGAAGAACATTCCTATAGATCATGATGGCACTATTATCAATACTCACTTTTGCTATTGCGAGGACACGATCCATTGTTGACACTCGAGGGGATCCTTCTGAGGAAGAGATATTTCCATCTAACCGTGCCAAATCAAATGGGATCAGGCACGTTACAGACAACCACAGCAAGAGCATATACCGAGTCTCCCAGGTCTAATAGGGCATAGAAAAGACACTATTTTAATCACAAAAACATGTTACAATATACATAATCTATGCTCCCCAGAAAGCTTACAACATGGGATGTGTTATTTCATGCTTTTGGACTCCAACACCCTAAATTATCAGAGAATTCCCCAGGAAGTATTCTGGAAGTTGTAGCCCACAACACCAATCTGCAGACCTCTAAATTTTGCCCCATACAGAAAGGCATGCCTCCAAAACTGCTGCACTCTCTTCCTAAACTCCAGAGATTTCTGGATAAAACAGATTATCTAGATCCATTTCAATCTGGCTTCAGGCCTGGTTATGAAACAGAGAAGGCTTTGGTCACCTTGATGGATGACCTACATCTCAAACTAGATAGGGGATCTGTGTCCCTGTTGGTTTTGTGGGACCTCTCAGCGACTTTCAATACTATCAACCACAGTACCTTCCTGACCCATCTCTCTAGAATAGGACATGATGGTACTGTTTTAAGATGGCTCCAGTCCTTCCCGGAGGAAAGAACTCAGAAGGTGGTGCTGGGGGATTGTTTGACACACTGGCTGCAGACCTGTAAGGTCTCTCAGGATTTGTTTTGCCTCCTATGGTATTTAACATCTACATGAAACCACTGAAAGAGATTATCTGGAGTTTTGGGGTTCGTGTCACCAGTATGCAGATGACACCTAATTCTACCTCTCCTTGGATTCCTTAAATCTAAGGAAGTTGTTTCAGTTCTAGATCAGTGTTTAGTATCAATAACGGACTGGATGAGGGTAAATAAACTGAAACTTAATCCAGACTAGACAGATGTGACTCTGGTCAACCAAAAGGCAGATCAAGGAATAGGGATGCAGCCTGTACTGGATGAGATTACACTCCCACTTAAAAAACAGGCACACAGGCTGGGGGTGCTCCTGGACTTATCCCTGAGCCTGAATGGCCAAGTCTCAGCAGCGGCTAGGAGTGCATTTGCACAATTAAAATTACTGTGTCACCTGGGATCATTTCTTGAGATATCTGGCCACTGTCATACACACCCCAGGCTGGATTATTTCAACACATTCTATGTGAGGCTGCCGATGGAAAGTGTCAAGAAGCTTCAATGGGTCCAAAATGCAGCAGCCAGATTGCTGCTGGGGATGGTTACAGGGATCACAAAACCCTCCTGTTACAGCAGCTCCACTGGCTGCTGATCAGTTTCCAGGTACAATTCATATAGGTTCATTTAGGTTCTAAACTATAAAGCCCTAAATGACCTGGGTTCAAGCTATCTCAAAGACTGTATCTCCCATTAAGAGCTGGCGCAGGCATTAAGATCATTAGAAGAGGCCTTTCTCTAGGTCCCACCACCTTCACAGCTGCACCTGATGGGGACACAGGAGAGAACCTTCCCTGTTGCTGCTCCCAGATTTTGGAACTCCCTCTCACAGGAGGCCAGACTTGCCCCCATCTTTGCTATCCTTCTGAAAGCAGGCAAAGACCTTTCTCTTCAGGCAAGCCTTCCCTCAGCAACCAGCTACCTCTGTGTGATTTTTAGAGGGATTGTTATTATGATTTTCATTTTTGGGTTTTCCATTTCTCAGACTAACTTTTCTTTTTAATATTTGTATACATATTGTTCCTAGTTTTAATATTGCCTTTTAATGATTCAAGATGCCTCTTTACATTCATTGTTCTTCGTTTTAAATATTGTCTTTTAATGATGTTAACCATCATTGTCTACTCATTATTTTAAACTTTAAATACTGTCTTTCAATGCTGTAAGCCACCTTGGGTCTTTTTCGGGAGAAAGGCAGGGTAAACATATTTTAAATAAATAAAGAAATAATCAGCCTTCTTCAAGGGCTGTATAACATAAAAAGAATTACTATTACAACTTATTGGGAACAATATCAGATACTTAAGAAAGCTGCTTTATTGTCAGGGTCTCTCCCGGGTTTCAGATAGAGGTCATTTCCCCAACTCTTCTTAAAGATGCCAGGAATGTAACTTGGGATTTTCTGCATATAAAGGATTTGCTCTACCACTGAGCTAAGATACCATTCTGCACTCACTCACCTGACCAGGTGGGCACATCTGTCAATGCTGCCTATTGCCCAGTGCTAAAGTACCAATCTGCTCTTCAAACCAAAAACATTTTGATAGCTACACTACATCTATCTGCTCAAGTTTTCATTTATATACGTTTTGAAACAAAAATTTATTTCAGAAGAAAGACAGTGAACTTACCTTGTAGTCTTTAGGATTCTGATATACAAGCATATCTAAAACAGGTTGTACATCAGCAACTTCATGAGGAAATAGCCGCAGGAAAGTTTTATATCCCCGTACCTAGCAAACAAAAAGTTTGTCACTTTAATAATTCATTCAAATTGTTATATATATTCTCCTTATTTAAGATACTGGAAGCAGGGGGGGTTAATTTTCAAACAGGCAGAAGGAAGGTTGCTTTGTTTTTTAATATTAAACTAATAAGACAAATACTAACAAAAGAAATAAGTCAGCAAAAACTCTTTCAAGCAAGAAACCTGTAGAGATAATTTTTGTTCCTGATGTCTATGCATTAAGCATGTTAGAGGGATGTCTGATCTATGGAGCCTTCTGTAAACTCTGAAAGAGGAACCATTAACTACAGGAACCATTCTGACAAACTTCTATCTATGATAAGGTCAGACTACCATGTTCCTGTAGCAGCTTCTACACATATCCCTGGGAAGAAATAGATGATGCTGAAACATAGGTTCTTTACACCAACAACTGTTCATACAACTGCTGCTTTAGAGTACCTCAAAGCTTTACAGAATTTGATTGCAATGCTTAAATCCACATCTAATCACAATTCATATCCACCTTTGAAATGATGTAGAGAAACTGAAAGCTCAGATGAATTAAAGAAGGTGGAGATGCTTCATCCCGGATAATACTAAGTAGAGAATTCAACATGGACTCTAGAGAAAACAGAGGCAGTGAGAAGAATATTAATGTGCAGCCATGTACACATAATTGATCTTCAGTTTTTTGGTTCAACTTTATAAATCGCTTTGTAAAGAATAAAAAAACCTGGATAGTGATTACATGAAACTGCGGAACAGTCAATTTGCCTTATATAGAAATCATATGTGACATTGCCCCATATTCTAACTACAATCTCCATTTTCACTCAGCAGTCCTCTAGGACAGTGGTTCTTAACCTTTGTTACTCAGATGCTTTTGAACTGCAAATCCCAGAAACCCCAGTCAGCACAGCTGGTGGTGAAGGCTTCTGGGAGTTGCAGTCCAAAACTCCTGAGTAACCCAAGGTTAAGAACCAGTGCTCTAGGACTCACACAGATTTTAACATGCTGCCCCCCTACATATCATCTGCTCAGAACTTGTGTGCATTAACAGTTCCTGTATGACCAGGCCACCTTCCTTTTTCAGAAGTATCAGCAACATAAGAAGAGATGCTGTACCTCACACTCTCGATCCACTGTGCAATGGGAAACAGGCACATTACAAAGTAAGAAGCAGGTCCCAAGCTAGATCAAAATCCAACAAGGGAAAGGGAAGTGCCTTTTCAGAGAATAGCCACACACTGATCCTGCTTTCAAAGTAGGTTCCCTGGGGAGGTGAAAGACACCTCACATGTACTGGACACTTGCCATTCTTGGCTCATAACTGGATTCTATCAATATTTTCTATAACAAACCAAAACATCATTTACCTAAATGGGGATCCAAAAGGTGAGGTTGTTCTTGATACTTATCCATTATGCCTAAAAGAGAAAATCGCATTCAGTTGAAATAATCAACTAACATTCTTATGTTGCTAGGTCAACCTATGAATCATATAATCAACAGAAAAGATCCTATTCCAAGACTCCTGAACTGTAGTTAAGATACACTATGTTAGCCTTTCATATTACAGTCACAGTACTACTCATAATGGGAATTAGTGCTGTGGGGCTTAGCTTACTATCTTTTTGTTTTTATCCTGCTAAAACTTTATTTTTGTGCTTGTTTGTAACTGTATTAAGTCAAGATTATTCCATTATAATAGTAAATTCATGCTATGCTAAGTTAATTGTTAATTAATTATTGATTATACTTTATCTAAGTACACCGATGTAACTTTCCCCCAAATGTAGCACTGTATGTATTCTGAAAAGCTCTGACATTTGGCACAGAAATTTCCTAACTATTAGAGCATTACAATGGAACCAATAACCTCTGGAAATGGTGAGTGCTCCAACGCTAGTGGCTTGCAATAAAAAGTTGCATCTCTAAGAGTTGAATTTGACAGTCATCTGACAGATATACTTTGATTAGGATTCCTGCACTGAACAGGGGGAGTTGGACTTGATGGCTCCTCCAACTCCATTGTTCTGTGATTCAATGATTCATTATTTTTGCACTATGAGGATCCACAAAGTCCTCCCCCATTTTTCCACATAAAAAACTGCTGGGATACAGAAGAGGCCTTCTTTAAAAGATCTTAATGGTCTGGCAGGTTTATGCAGGAGGAGCTCCTTCAAATACCCAGGTCCCATGCAGCTTAGGGTCAACTCCACCTCTTCTTAGTATTTTTTCCAAGTATCTCAGAATGTGAGGAGTAATCTGTCTCAGTAGAGTGTGCAGTCACCCTACACATGCTGCTATATGGGACCATAGGACTCTTCACCAGAACAATTCCCCAGTCCTTCTACATCTCCCCAGTCGCCACTCCATACTTCCTTCCAAATCTACACTTATATTCCCCTTATTATGCACTTTGATAGCAAACGTCAAGAATACAAGTCATCTTTCATGTTTGATATGAGTTTAAGTTTTTATTGATGTGCTCTATTCTGGGACTTGGGAGATCAAGATCCTAGATATGACGCATGAATCTGGGACTAAGCACACTCTCTCCCATTCTGGATCATGTCATAATGATGTTTCAAGAGAAGGAGAGAGTTGTTCACTAATTTGATCTCACTGGAAGAAAAGCAGGATGTAAAGGCAACCAGTGAATAAATGGGAGCATGTTGTCACAATATACAATATTACACTAAATGGTGGCTGTCCAAAGGTGGCTGTCCAAAGCCAACAAAACATTTAAATACCTCCAACAGGCAACATAATCTAAGCAGTAGTGAACTGCACACTAAACATGTATGAAAAAGTACTTTTTCTCACCAGACAATGCATAATTTTATGTACATTTACATTCCTTCCTTCAATTCATCTTCTTTCTAAGCTGAGGCATTACCAAATATTGAGTTCTTTTCTCACAGAATTGCTGATATGGTTTCAAATGGGGTCACATCATAGGTTTCCACTGTGATACTAGCAGCTAATTTTTAATTATTTTCCAAACTGGCTATTTTTCAACATGGAATTTTCCTGTCTCATAGCTGCTCAACATTGTCATGGGCCTAGCCATGACATCTCCAGGATCCCTTTCTTGGTCAGTCACAAGTAACTCAGACTCTTCAGGGATAGTTAGGACGTTTGTCTCACTAGCAGTTCAATAATGCAATATATGATTATGCAAAATGCTACAGGTTAAATGAAGAACGAAAGATGTGCAGCTTATCCCTACACAGATTACTTGTACATAAACCTACTTTACATACCAAAAACGAAAACTCATACCTTTGAATTTTTCAAGTGCTGATTCTTGCAATATGAGGTCTTCATGCACCAGTTTAAGGTTATTAATCAACTCCTGTGTTTCTTGACTCTCTGTGAAACTCTCAAGTATGTTTCCTTTGGCAATGACATCAGGCTCTGGGCCTCTGCTGTCTTCTTGCTCAGGCCCATCATCATTCATTTCATTTAACACCATCTTGCACTCTGACAAACTGCTCCTTAACAAAAAGCAAACTAGTTTAAAATCACAATTAAAGGAAACCACTGAATTTGTCTAAGTCCTCACACACAACTGTCACAACCCAGTAGATGGAGCACATTTGCTGATAATTTCAGTAGGCTTCACGTTTTGGACTGGGCCCATTCTGTCACGAGAAGAAAATAATCATGGAAAATGCACAAAAGTTATTTCTATCATGTCCTAGATGTATTTTGCCAAAGTCACTTCCACTTCTTTCCCAATTCAAGCAGTACGTCAAAGGAACATTTTCTAGGAGACAGTTAAGGTAGTAAATCCTTGTTAAAACATAGTGCTACTTGCAATTGATATAAAAACACCATTTTATACAACATAACAAGCATAATTTGAGCTTCAGAATTGTTTGGAAAATTGCTCCCCCTTCCCTATCAGAATGAGCTAAAGTGCACAAAAATGGACTGCCCTGATTTTTAACTGGACGGGACACCCCCTATTTTGCAAACCCGCCCTTTGACTCCAGGTGCGACTATCTGCTATGACTGCAAGTTCCTCAACGCTGAGATAATATTCACTATTATTTAGGACTAACAGAAAGTCATTCTGTGCCTGCGTGTTAGCACGGCATTAACTACGGGTTCTGAGACAAAGGCAGTAGGTAAAGCTGGATTTTAATTCATTTAAACGTATGCTATTGTGAACCCAAGCTCCTTTCTGAGGAGGGACGGGGGTGGTGGTGGTGAGGAGATACGGTGTTTTGGTTTGGTTTTTTTTTTAAAAATACCTTTAATGATTTCAGCACGTGAAATTTTTTTTATCCGGGCTACAACTGCCAACGTTTCCCCTTCCACACGACCATGGGAGATGCAGGACTCCTTGCGTCCTCCTCGTCATGGGGGTCATTCCTACCCAGAGAGCCTCGCACAGGGGTCCCTGCCTCCAATTAAAGGGAGGGAAACGCCTCAGCGTCGTCCGCCCAACGACCAGCCCTTCTCTCAGCACGTGAAATTTTTTTTATCCGGGCTACAACTGCCAACGTTTCCCCTTCCACACGACCATGGGAGATGCAGGACTCCTTGCGTCCTCCTCGTCATGGGGGTCATTCCTACCCAGAGAGCCTCGCACAGGGGTCCCTGCCTCCAATTAAAGGGAGGGAAACGCCTCAGCGTCCTCCGCCCAACGACCAGCCCTTCTTTTTCTCCTGACACAGATCCCCAACCCCACCCCCACTTTCCGTCTCCTCGAAATACTAACGTCCCCCCAAAGACTGCTGCCTATACGCGCGCGCACACCACCTCCACCACAAGCGCCCACCCGGCCCCACAAAGGTCCGAGAAGGTTTCCCTTTTACCTTTCCAAAACGAGACTCGGGGTTGGCGCCTGCGGGAACCGGGCCTTCCCAGTACGGCTCCTCGCCTAGGCCAAAATACCTCGAGATGGCGGCGGCGCTCCGACTCCTCGCGAGAGGGAGAGGGACAGTAGATTCGGAAAGGGGAAAAATATGGCTTTGGGCGTGGGCTTGGGCGGGCCGTCGTCTGGATGCTGTCGCCAAGAGAGCCCAATCGGATGTTCTCCTCCAAAAGATGGGTTCTTTTAGGAGGAAATACTGTAGCTGTTTTTCCTTTAAAAACAAACACCTCTGAACGGAATCTGGAGCAGCAAAGTTACATTTCTCTGCACCAAACATCTCGGTGCGCGTTACATTGAAAGGAATTGGGGGTGTGGGGTGTGAATTAACGAATCATTGATCAAGCATTCAAGGCTAAATTTTTTGTGAAATGCAAATAATGTTTTTAAAATCTTTAATGTGTGGACTGCCTTGAAAGCTTCTAAAGGCGGTTAATAAATAAAATAATTCCTATATACTAGCATAAAACTACGTTACTAAATAGGAATTATTAGTCCAGTAGAAAAACTTATTCCTTTTTATCATTCATTCTTATTCTTTTTTTTGCTTCCAAAGAACCTGGAACTGGATGCAACTTTATCTTCAGTCTGTAGCTTCAGGATTAGGTTATGCAAACAACCTTTCTCGATAATTGGAACAATAACATTTTAAAAATTGCCCTGCTACTCTCTGTATACCCAATCTCAACTAATTTTGAATGCTAAGCAGGATTGGGCCCAATTAGTAATTGGAGGGGAGAATATCAAGTGGAAGAGCTTTGTGAGTTAGAATTGCCAGTACTGTACTTGGCCAGGTGAACAAGTCGCCTAACTCAGTAAAAGTTGGCTTCCTTGTCCCTGTGTTACCACATTTTAAAACGCAGATAAAATAAAAATATAAACAAGACCACAATGCAAATAAAGCTTATAGATGAGGCAAAAAAAATTGTTCCTCTTGGTAAGAGACCTTTCTGCAGCACCCCCAGCTTGCTAAGTACCCTAAACCTGCAGCCACAGCAGAGAACAAAAGGGAGAACTTAGTCTGCTTTGAAAAATCATTCCACAGTCTGGGAGCAGAGATTGCCAACACCACCTCTGGTGTGGCCTCTTGACCAGAAGAACCGCTGGGGAAGGGGAGATGCACTAGACTAGAGGCAGAACATCTGCCCTGAAAGAGCTCCCGCTGAATTGTAGGTATAGTTCTCAAGGGAACCCAGCCTTTGTGGGAGAGTTAAGAGCATCTTAAATCAATGGAGCAGTCAGGGCCGATGGTGGGAAATTCAAATGGCGGAGGGTGGCGAGGAGCACCCCGGCCAGGCTCAGCCTCCCGGCACTCAGACGCCATGACTGTGAGGCAAGCGGCTGGAGCATCCCGGCCAGGCTAAGCCTCCCGGCGCTGGACCACCACTGGTGCCAGTTCCGGACCTGGAGGTGGCATTGGGCACCAGCAGCAGCGGCAGCAGCAGCTTGGGACCACCTGGTAAGGTTAGGTGCTGGTTTTTAAAAACTGTTCTGAGTCGGTTTTGCAGGGCTGGGGGGGGTTATGATTCTGTGTTGTGTTGTTTGTTTTTTGGTGTACAGTGGACCCTTGACTTACAGACGGCTTGACTTACAGACTTTTTGAGTTACAGACTTCTCAGGCCACAAAATTTAGGTTTGACTTGCAGCCTGAGAATTGACTTACAAACCAGAAAAAAACCAAAATGGAACAAAAACGGCCTGTTACGGGATTAATCGGTTTTCAATGCACTGTAGGTCAATGGAGACTTGACCTACAGACTTTTTGACTTGAGAACCGCCTTCCAATACGGATTAAGTTCTCAAGTCAAGACCCCACTGTATGTGTTTTTGCAGTCCCAACATGAGACTTGCTCTGTTTGTATTTTTATTTTATTTTTTGAGGTATATTTTTGGGAGGCGGAATGGATTAATCGCATTCCCATGCATTCCTATGGGAATGCATGCTTCGACTTACGACCATTTCGACTTACGTTCCATCTTCTGGAATTAATTATGGTCGTAAGTTGAGGCACCACTGTATACCTCTTCAAGCTTTATAGCCCAGGTTTTGCTTTGCATTAAGATGGGTATGTTTCGTTGAAGACTGGAAACATCCAAAGATAATATAGGGTGATGCTGTATGTATGGAAAAGCTAAATGGAGAGGATCCTCTTTGGAAAACCTTCCTTCCTTTGTTCATCAATGCTAGTGCAACTCTCCTTTTGAGATACATACCTACCTACCCCTGCCTGGTGCCAGACCAACAAGGCAGGTTGGCCAATATATCTTGAGTTAGTTTTGTTGGCAGTTTTCCTGATTAATGTATTCCATTTCTATACTATGTCTTCACTAAGATATAGTATTCTCAAGTGACTTCTGTGCAAATATGCTTGTTGTCAGAACAGGCTTGTAGATTATATTGACTTCAGCTACTAGAAATTGACCTTGAAGAATCAGGTAAACCACTCAGAGTGACCATCGGTCAGATGGGCAGTATAGAAATCGAATGAATGAATCAACAAACGAATGAACGAAACAACAAATGAAGATAATTAACACCTGATGAGTTTACAAAACAATTTTTTGGTGTCATGCACAATGTGAAAAGTGGCTACCAGCATCTGAACATAAGCATAGCAGATGTTTAGTACAGCTTGTTACCATTTTTTCTTCTTCTTCTTCTTCTTCTTCTTCTTCTTCTTTCAACTGTAGAACTGAACCCTATGAATCATGGAGTCCCACCCCTGTCAATGAAGTACAGTGGAGAATCAAACTCCCAACTTCTGACTAACTTGCTATTAATGAAATAGTAGCTCCTTCACTTTTAGGATGGGCACAGAGTGCGTGCAATGAGATGTAGCTGAATGTACCTACAGAAGTAGGGACTTTTTTCAGTGGAAGTCTACCGGTGCTGTCAATGTTCTTCCAGCGTTATCCATATAGCTTTGTAACAGGATATGTGCCAAGATGTTCTGGCTACAGAATCACATGTAAATTCTCACTGAGCCAGTGTAGAGTATAATTGTTTGAATATTAGATTTGGAAGAGGAGGATACATGTTGAGATCCCTGCATAGTCAAAAAGCTTTGTAGGTATCCCATTATATGGATGCTGGGGTTTTTTTAATCAATTTTTATTGATAGCATAAGAACTTTCTACAAATCTATGTGAACCCCAGTGGGACCACATGCACACAAACAAGCAGTCGTTTAATTTTGTAAGCCACCAACGCCCCTTTTCAGAAGGAAGGCAAAGTAACAATATTTAAAATAACTAAAAAATATATGTCTTTACTGTGATTTTGATTACAAACATTTCCTGGACTTCTCTTTCAGAGACCACCCACAACCTGGCCTGACCCACGTTTCCACTGCAATAGTGCAAATAATTTTTTAAAAAGGATGGTTCCAAAGCGAAGACAAGTGCTTTCTGTATTCTTGTGTCCTTGTTTCCAATTTGCGACCAGTAAGGAAAACAAGGCAGGCCTCTCATGTTTCAGGTAGAGGGGCAACAGTACCTTGACCACTCTTTGTGATGTCACTTTGTGATGCAATTCATCACCTTCATAAACCTCTGGTCCAGGACAGCAACCATCCATCTGGTGGGTGACCAGCACTCAGTCAGCTGTGTTGATCCAGTGATGGAGAAGACCCAGTGCAAGCTCCTGGTTGCTCTCAGGAAAATGTTGGCAGTCCCAATCAGATATCTCATCTTTCTTCTTGTTATCACTTTGATAACATGTTTTCATATTGTTATCCTTCTGAAACTTCTGCAGACTTTTCCTTTGGTTCATAACACATTTGAATCCATGAGGAGGCCCTTTGCTACAACCATCTATTTGGTGGGTCATCCGCGCTCTAGCAGTTGAGTTGATCCAAGGATGGAGAAGATCCAGCACAGGGTTCCGGATGCTCCCAAGGAAGCCTTTGAACTCTAATCTGATGCCTCATCTTTACTCTTATTCTCTTGTTCACAACATTATGTTATATTGTTATCCTCTTAAAACTCCTACAGAGTCTTACTTTTATTCAAAAAAAATCTGTGAATCAACCAAGAGATGTTTCAGGTGCCTCTTTGCTGTCCGTGAAATGCCACCCCAGCTTTCCAGCGCCCAAGCAAAGGTAGGTTGTTGCATTCGTGTAATTGGCTTGCTTTCCATATGTAAACAAAATACATAGACACAGGAAGCATATCTGGTGTTCCTTCTCTACAAAGAGAAAATTGGAAAACTGGGGCATTTGCTAAAAAGACATGGGAACATAGTTTTTCTTTCTCCTCATCTTTCTTTATTGTAGATCTATCAGCAAAGGGGCAAGTGCCTGAGGGTGCAAGGATTTGGGAGAAAAGAACAGAGGACAAGTCTCTCCACCTCCATTAAAGTCTGGCATTCTCCATTACTGAGACTCAGCATCAAAGAAGACCTGTCAGGTAACTTGAAGAGAACTGTATATTCCCCAATGTAGTGGGGGAATTCCCAAATGGGTTCTGCAGTCCTCCATTTTTCTGCCTCCCAGAGCCCCTTTCAGTGTGCAGATGGAACAAACACACCCATGCCTTCCTTCCCATAGGAAATCTTTTTGCGTGGTTATGGGTCAGATGGGAAGATGGTGACCACGAAGGCCCACTGGAAGAGGATCCAACCTGCAGAGGGGAAAGAGAGCAAGAGCACAACACACCAAACACAAGTCTATCCTCAGGAGAAGTGAGAGTTGGTGTCAAGAAGAAATTAAAGAAAAAGCTATCCCCGAGAGAAGTGAGAGTCGGGTTCAAGAACCACTGGCAATTCAGGGAAGCCACTGTTGCTTCCTACCAGCGCCTCTTTTTGCCACCAAGTTGGAAGGCCAACAGAGGAGAGGATCCAACCTGCAGAGGGGAAACAGAGCAAGAGACGAACACACCAGACACAAGTCTATCCTCAGGAGAGGTGAGAGCTAGTGCCAAAGACAAAGTACAGACAAAGCTATCCTCGGGAGAAGTGAGAGCCGGGTCCAAGAACCATTGGCAATTCAAGGAAGCCACTGTTGCTTCTCACTAGCTCCTCTCTTTGCCACCAAGTTGGAAAGCCAACAGAAAAGCTAAAGAACCAGAGGAGAGATACTCCATTTTATTCTCAAAAGAAAGTGAAATCTCTCACTCGGTTTCAGCAAAGCTAGGGGAGGAAGGTTCTTCTTTGCTCTCAGAGGTCAGCAAACCACAGAACTCTGGCTCAATCAATTGTTTCTCGTATTGTCCCTCTGGGGACAATGATGTTCTCCACTATGGTTCCTCAAAGAAGATGGAAGAAGGCTCCTGTTGTCTGCCTTTCTTGGCTTATCCAACCCGAGATTGTTTAGAAACCCAGGAATCCCTGAAAGAAGATGCTGTAGGCCAAGGCCCCTTTATCAAAAATGATCACTATCATTCATTCTGGGTCACCGGAGGGGGAGACATCACTAAATCTGAAGAACGCCAACTCATGGAGCCCGTGGGGAAAAAAGGAGAAAGCCAAGCAGGTAAAGGACTGTGAAGGTGTAGAAAGAGAGTGTGCCGTCCGCAGAGACAAAAGTGGAAAAAGATGATGAAAAGAAAGAGCAGCTGACTAGCAGCGAAAGTAACAAAGAAGAGAGGAAAGGGTTAACAGATAAGGAAGGGGAGTTAAAGCTGGAAGTATGTTTGGCTGAAGGGGAGTGGGAGGAGTCAGAGGTGACAGTTGGTGGAGGTTATAAGGATAAGGAGGGGGTGGTGTGGTTCAGTGCTGTGGTGGAGGAGTACGAAAGAAGAAAGAGGGAAGAAAAACGACAGGCCTTTGAGAGAGTCCGCACCCAAGGCTTAATAAAAGATTTCCCTAACCTTCAAGTGGGCGGACTCTTGCCTAATCCCTCAACTCAAAGAAAACCACCACCTTATGGACCAGCGAAAGAGTGGAAAGTGATCGTGGCTCCTTGGGAAGAAGAGTTACAGCAAGAGCACAATTGGAGGAAGGCTGAGTTTGATGAGGGTCCTGATGAGAGGGGGTGGATTCGGCACAAATGCTGTGGGACAATTTGTGCCATGAGGAGTTCCCCACCCCCTCAGTGGGGTTGCAAGAAACCCTATGGGGACCAGCGCCGTTAGCTCCATGGGATTATATTCAAAGTTTAGAACATGTTAATGAGAGTTTGTCACCCAGTTGTAAACCATTGGAACCGTTGAAAGATGTGCTGGAGAGTGGAAGTGGTAATAAAGGTTCTATTGTTAAAGTTATAAGGACTCAACCCTTATTATTTCCTGCCGAAATGGAGGGGCCGCCTGAGGGGAAAGATGAACTTTTTGACAAGGACCTATTCAAGCTATTGCCATCATGATTTGCAGGCATGAAAAAACATTACACCTCCAAGGCCTCCTGGGATGAAGAAAGCAGAATGGGAGAAAGTGACTTTGTTCCATGAGAGACACAGTTTGAGGCTTCAGAAAGGAGAGCATTCAGTGTTTGAGAGGAAAGACGGTTTTCGGAGAGTGGGAGAAGGCCACGAATCTCAGAATGGAGAGGTCACAATGAAGAAATGGTGGCCAGTACCAGCATCCTGGATAGGAAACTGCATCTCCTGTGTCGAACGGAAGAATGGAGGGGTAAACAAGGAATCTCAACATTCATTTGGAGAAAGATGGGAAGTGTCAGAAGGGAAAGGGGTGTTTCAGCTGCCACTGAGGAAGAAAAGGTCTCCAAGAACTGTTGTTGGAGAGCCCTCCACACTGGAGACTCCAGTTGGAGATGATTCAGTTTCTAGGAAAAACAAAGAAGACCTAAGTACCGGAGCAAAAGAGGAATCCATCAAAACCCATTTTTCAGGCAAAGTCCCATTCATCCATAGTGGACCCAGCCAAGTGTTTGGGGTCACCAGAGAGGCAAAGGCCCCTGGGTATGAAGAAGGCCAATGTAAGCAGCCCGTGGGAGAAGCCCACAGAGAAACTTCTGCAAGAACAGCTTTCTGGAAACACCCCATCAATCCACCATAGGGTCAGTCAGGGCAGTAGGATGACCAGCGGGGTAGAGGTCCCCAGGTTAGAGGAAAGCCAGATCATGGGAAACAGCAAAGGATGCTGTAACGGATGCCCAAGTCGCTCCTGTCAATCACAGCAGAACCTCATGTGCATAAGCCAATGAGAGGACAGGAGAGGCAGAGGCAGAGTTTTGTCAGTTAGTTGAGAGTTAGAGAGGTTTGCAGAGATAGATAGATAGTCAGAGATAGAAAGAGAATTGTTACTAATATAAACTGGTTAAATTGAAAATGAGTGAACAAGAAGTGATCTAGTGTGGAACATAAAATATAATATTTCAATGATTATGATCTAATGAAAATGAATAAAGACCATCTGAGATTCTGAGTTACCCTTTTATACCCTTTAATAAAACAAGTTTTAATTTTCAAAAGTTCTTTACAGTGTGGGTTGGGTTGAGAGAAACAAGCAGGGACACAGGGTGTACGTCACAGATGCCATCAACCTCCAAACGCAGGGAGTGCAGATGGAAATTAAAATCGGCTCCTCTGAGCTGACACTTCATCCCTTCGAGCGAGGCTGCTTCTCACACCATCATTGGGAGGTGCACATCCACCTTCTCTCCGTGCTGCATGTGTTCGTCTGCGAAAATCTCCATCAGGGCTGCACACCAGGAGTCGCTCTTGATGCCCATTTAGTTCCAGTTTGGGATGACCCCCTTCCCCTGTGTGCACACGGAGTGAGGTTCCCTTGCAGTGGGGACAAAAACTACACAGAACATTGGGCCAAATCCATATGGTTTTATTATTATTATCGTTACTATTATTGTTACTTGATAAGAGATTGCTTTCCTACAGTAATCACATGTTAACCACTGATCTATTTCCATCAAAACCTTTTTTTGTGATGTATGTTTATGAAGATGCAAATCTGTGTGACTTTGGGGGGGTCTCGTGTAAGAGCATGTAAAGTGTACAAACCTCAGAGTCCATTGGAGTCCAGATGTTCAGAACCTGCATGTCTTGAGTCTAACGCTCCCTGGCTGTTGCCATCCTGCAACGCTCATATTTTCCATAGAGGTCGATCAGGCTGAAGAGGTCCCTTGTCTTGCTTGGACTCTTCAGACGCACCCCAGGTGGTGAGAGAAAGGCCGGGACTCTCCGCATTTGACTGATTTAAACTGATTCCAGAAATGGATTTGAGGTTTTAAATCAACCACTAAATGATGCATCATCACAATAAAATTTAAACCATATTTTAAAAAGGAAATTAAAAAATCATAGGGAAATAATCTTCATGAAATGAACAAGAACCCAAAATGTTTCTTAATCATAGCAAATTCGTGGCCTAGTAAAAATCATATTTTTTGATTTACATCTGTCCTTACCCCCAGAACTGGCATGGAAAGCAAAGCAAGCTTAAAAGTCAGAGAGCAGGAAAATTTCGAGACACTGCCAACTGAAAAGCAGATAAGGAATTGTAACCGTTCTGATAGAAGGTATTATAAAAGAACATTGTTTTTCAAACAATATACCACCCATCAGTTCAAAGCTCTTCCGCACAACCAACTACCAGAGGTTTTGATGCATGGGAGAGTTTATGTCCCAGAGCTCTGGGATCCCCAGTTCCCAATCCAAGCAGGGCACCTTCTGGCTGCCATCTGGATCCTAAACCACCCCTTCTCTTGATAGTGGCCCCTCTCTCCCTCATATACCCGATAAGTTTCCTCTAGCTTTGGCAAAGATATTGAGATAGTTTGGTTCCCCCCACCCCCGATATCGAAAGGGTGTTGGAAAAAGCCATACTTCAGTTTGTCTGCAGGCACAGAGGTTGATGGAACTGACACGGCATTTGTACCCAGGTAGTGCAGGCACAGAGGTTGATGGAACTGACACAGCATTTGTTCCCAGGTACAGAGGCCAAGGGTGTGGAGGTAGTGTTTGCCTCATGGCACAGAGCTGACTGGCATGGAGGTCGCGTTTGCCCCCTGGCATAGAAAGGGATTCCACTGGAGTGTTGGGATGGGGGGGGCAATCAACACGTTTTATTTCTGAAAACGTCCTGTGGTTTGTAAGATCATCAGCCTTATGCAGTGTCACTTACAGACTAGGACTTAAATCCCCTTTTAAATTTTAATTTATTTATTTTTTAAAGAGGTTGTGTTGCAGCCTGGATCAATGTTCTGTCAACCTCAATTAAGGGCTCCCTTTGGCTCAGAACACATTCTTTGCTCATTCCATTGGAAAGAGGAATTTTTTTACAGGAGATCCCATTGTTCATCTTCCATTCCTATCGGTCTGTGCAGCGGAAAACGTCTGTCTGGGCTGGAAAGAGCTCCAGAAACATGAACAGGGAGTGTTCTTTGCTCACCCATTGCTTCACCTCCTCTCAGAGGAGGACCTTTTCAGAGAGAAGGAAACCTCACAGACATTGCCTCCTTTCTGAAAGCATCACTTGTGACACCGTGTGACCAGCCCAACCTGGCTATGGCTAATGACCTTTAAACCACCCTGTTCTTTCCCTGAGCTAGCCTTGAGCCTTCCACCATTTCAACTCTCTCTCCTTCTCTCTCCCAGAACCAATGGTTCTGATCCCAGTTGCTGAGTGGTGATTGGTCCAGCAAGAGAGTCTTTGACCAATCGGCTCCTCTGGGCTGACACTTCATCCCTTTGAGCGAGGCTGCTGCTCACACCTCTTTTGATCGCAACCACAGCACAGGGAACGGAAGCAAAGTGGGGAAACCTTCTAAGGAAGGAAGGACCAGTGAGTTGTTTTTGGAAAGCTCTTCCCGTGTCACACTTTCCTGTCTCCAGAGTGCAAGTTGTGTTCTGCCAGGGACTGGGGCTAGGCTGCATCGGAGGAACATAAAGAGAAAGAGAAACACAAGACTCAAAGGCAAAGAGGGGCAGGGGGATCAAAGGGTTAAATCCAGATTTATTTCCACCGAAAGGAGTGGGACTTATCATTCACTAACACAAGTCAACTGGAATTTTTTTTAGACCAAAGTTTTGTTCGCCTTTTAAATCTGATGCCATTTTTACCTTCTGAAGCAGAATGAGAAGGCACGATTGTTTTCTATTTCTTTTCTAGCAGAGACAATACAAGATATATATATCATGCTGTCCCATCACAGCTCCTATATTTGCCCCTGTTCCCACCACTCAGAGCTGCCACATCCAAGGGCCTTTGTATTCTTCAGAATGGGCCCCCCCTTCCCACCACCATAAGGAGACAGGGTAGGGCCATTGGCACAGAGCAGTGGCCACTCACAGGTTCTTCTTCATCTGTTTCTCCTTCCGGAGATCCGCTCCAGATGCACTGGCATTTAATCAAGGGAATACGCCATGGAAGACAAAAGGTAAAGTAGACTAGCTGATATCAAGAGGATTCAGCTTTTTTGTAACATATACAGGTAGCGAATGAAAGACTCCAATTCCATGTAGAAAATAGTGGCTTAAAAGATGAACAATTTGTCTGAACCAGTTTTGGGTAGTTTCTTTTGTTTCTATATCACTTGTAAACAATAGTCCCAAACTAGGCATGTTGCAAAGTGTGCTGCTTATATACTGTCCTGAAGTGTTGAAAACACTCTGTGGGCAGTTTATAGTTTAAGTTTGCAGGCAACACAATTCACTGATCTCGGAAGGATTAGCAAACTTTGAGCCAGCTACCTGAGTCCAGGATTGAACTCAAGTTGTGAGCAAAGTGTTGGCTGCAGTACTGCAATTTAACCACTGCATAGTTTTAACTTATTCTTCTTAAACCTCAATATTTATACTGTTAGAAGCTGTTACAATAGCCCAGATGTTGGCCTGAGGATCTTCCACAGCCACCCCATAGCCTCCCCTCTGTATTTTACCAAATCACTACAATTAGGCTTGGAAAAAGCCTCACTTAACAACAATTCTCTATTCCACCACCACCAATTTTCTTCCCTTTTTGATTACTGTCACGCACCCCCAGTTCCCCTGTTTGTTTTTCTACACACCCAGGTTCCCTTTCAGGCATGACATGTACTTTTCACCCTTTTTCGCTGCCACCAGAGGATGTGTTCCTCTCTGTACCAAATATAACTATTAGATCAGTGCTGTCAAATACTGTATAACAATGTTTATTTATGGGTTTGTAGGTAAATCATATAAAGAAAATCATGGATGGCCTTTTATTATTAATTCAATAAACGTTGCTTTGATTACATTTCAGTTTGCATATGTAGATTCACTTTAATCAAGTCATTATTCAACTATTTATTTATTTCTTAGCACCTTTAATTTTTTCCATTCTTAACCATATAAACTTTCCAACACTTGTCCTGTTCCTATCTTTTTATCTCTCTATTACTCTTCTCTCTAACACAACCGCGGCCCTAACTGCCTAAACTGTCTTTAACTGTCTGTCTTTTTCCTTTTACTTCCCTGATTCCGCCCCTTCTGTCATGTCATTGGCTCTCACATCAGCTCTGACCTGACTGATAGGAGTGTTCTGAGAGCTGTCCGTCACAATTACCTTTTCAACTGACACACTTCTGGAAAGCCAATAGATCCTTATCATACCATATAAAGATTATTTTTAAAAAATATTCTTCTATTTAGTAATAAATATATGCTGCCATATAATTATACGATCCTAATCTATGGTGATCCTTTGCAGGGTTTTCTAGGTTAAAAGGACTCATAAATCAATTTACAGTGGTGCCTCGCAAGACGGGCGCTCCGTTTAACGATGAATCCGCATTACGACAAAAGCGATCGCAAAACGACGTTTTGAATGGGGGAATTTCGCTGCGCAATGATCGTTTCCCTGTTTCAGGAATCGATTTTCGCTTCCCGACGATAAAAACAGCTGATCGTCGGGTTTTCAAAATGGCCACCGGGTGCTCAAAATGGCTCCCCGCTGTGTTTAGGAGCCATTTTTCGCTGCACAGGCACCCAAAAATGGCTGCCCCTATGGAGGATCTTCGTTGGACAGTGAGTTCTTAGCCGATTGGAATGCATTAACCAGGTTTTAATGCATTTCAATGGCTTTTTTATTTTCGTTTTACGACGTTTTCGTTCTACAGTGATTTCGCTGGAACAAATTGTTTTCGTAATGCGAGGCACCACTGTACTGTTCCCTCTTTCTTTCTGATGCACCCTGAGACCATGTAGCTTGTCAAGACTGCACAACCTGGCTCTTCTCCTGGGAAGCACAGTGGAGAATTGAACTCCCCACTCCTGGGGCTCCAACTCACTGAGCCATTCAGCCACCCATTCTTCCCTTTATACTATTATAGACTTCTGCTATAGATACAGGTCCCTGAGTACACATAAACCAAAAGAAGTGACTTGTACTCTGAGCAAGGGAAGGGCTCAAAATTTGGAGACAAGCCTCCTCTCTCACCTGGACTGCAGGCCACCGCTGGAAGTCAGCCCAATTTTACTTCCAAAATGATAAATGTGCTTGTTAGAAAGAATTATAATTGCAAATTACTTTACCAATGTCAAGATTTTATTTAGATTTCATACTACATCCAAAGTCCAGCACAGCAACTGTCATTCAGATTATGCCCCCTGAAGCCCTGGATCACTTGGCTGATAGTTCTAAACAGATAATTACAATATCTGCTTTCCTGTCAGAAATTGAACTTTCCAAAATTCTGCTTTAATTCACAATTGTGATAATTAGTGATGATGACGATACTTAACTAGGGAAGTATAAACGAAATGAAATATGCTTGATCTTTACTTGATCTATAAAAGCTAAATTCACAATACTGTAATCACTTGCACACGAGAACGTTCACTTGCTTATCTAACAATAACTTTTACTATGTTTAATGGGATTCTCACCCAGGTAAGTGCTCACAGAATCACAACTCAGGGTATAAAGTGCATTGTTACTTATATTTGTGATAATGAGACTTACACAGTAAACTATGGGGTGGGCACTTCATCCCCCAAATGTTGGTAGATTCAAAAATATAGTGAAGCATAAGGAGCTATGGTCCTTAAGACCAGCTCAATGCGTATTGTCGTTTGAGGCAAAGTACAAGATGGCACCTCCCACATTCTGTGTTCAGTTGTTGACCAGACTGGTAGTTCAATCTTAGCCTCTCAATATCTGCTGCCTGAAGCAACTGTGGGAGGGAGGGAGTTGTTACATACACACAAGCTATTGCACTTTTAAATTGGCTTTCAGGTTTACATGCTTTGTATTTTTACAGCCACTCCTATGGAATGTAATAACACTTGCAGAATTCTCAGTACAGTATATCAAGACAGTGAAAATTAAAGACTGACCCTTCCAGTCTTTCATTATTGTCTACTAGATGTAGATCACTACCATAATGAAACATTGGGTGACCTGTTGGATTAGATGTTTTCATACTGAGACAGAAGTCACTTCTTGGGATGTCAAACTATACACCGTGTCCCTAGATTCCCTAACTTATTCAAGTGGTTATTAGTATGCTGGTTGACAATTACAGGGTGCAAAAATTACAAAACCACTGCAAGCATTTTGAGAGGAATCAAAAGTGTACAAATATCACCTTAACCTTTGCTTTTTGTAACTTCAGGTGACTCTCCACAATCTCTGATACACTGTATTTGATATTATTCTGACATCAAAATCAGGAATTACTTACTTAGGATGGATGCTCAAGGATTACTTTAAGAGCTTCCGCATTACATTAAGAGTAGATCCCCGATATCCTGTACCAAAATGGTTCCAGTGGTTAATATAATTAAATAGCTGATAAAGTTTGTTGCGTTTTTCAAACCCTGGAGCCCTGGGGATTTTGCTGTGATATGCAGTGAAGAAAGAGCTGCTGAAACCACCAAACATCATAGAAATGGCAAGTTCAAATTCTGAATGCCCATAGAAGCAAGCAGGATCAAAGAGAATAGGGCCAGACTCATCTTCAGCTACATTTCCTGCCCACAGGTCCCCATGCACGAGAGCAGGGATGATCTCCACATCATGAAACATCTCAGGAATCTTGGGCTGTGAAAAATGTAATGAAAATGTGTAAATGCTATCCATAAGAGAGAAGCAAGATGTTGTTATTTAAGAAGTAACATGCCTTCAAAACATATAAACCAGAACATACGTGAATTCCTGAATGTTGTATTTTTAGTTGTTTGAATCCTAATCTATAAATTGTATACAGTACATCAAAGACTAAATTCAATCAGCTGAATAGACTCTTTGAATCTATGGGATCTGTGGGGCTTCTCTCCCACAATTCTGGTTGATTTAAAGTGGAGTGGACAGCCTCCAGAAGTCCAAGGGTGCAGAGATCGGCCTCTAGCTCTCAGAGGGCTGTTGCTGCACCATACCCACCCTGAAAGTATTCTTAGTTCAAAAAGATTTTTAATTGAAAAAGCTCCCTTTTGCTCTACAGTGGTATTTTTTTAACCTGTAAAAAGGGTCCCTAAAATATGGCATCTATTTGAGGGCAAAAGCAGATTTGCTGAGCACCATCTCCACTCTGGATAGAGGGGTTGGGGGAACCATATTTGAGCTCCTGGCAGACAGCATGCAACCTGCCCTGCCCAGCACACTGTTGGCCCATCCTTAGGCAGTGGTCCACCAGGACACCTAAATCCCTCTCACAGATACTACTGTCAAGCCAGGTACCACCTATCCTGTACCTGTGCATCTGGTTTCTCCTGTCTAAGTGCAGGACCTTACTTTTCCCACCACTGAATTGCATCTTATTGGATAGGGCCCAGTGTTCAAGTCTGTCTAGATCCTTCTGAATGTTGAGTCTATCTTCCAAAGCATTAGGAAATCCCTCCAGCTTTGTGTTATCAGCAAATCTGATGAGTGCTCCTTCAATCCCGTCATGCAGGTCATTTATGAAGATCTACAGTCAGTATTTACGTACTGCTTATGTACAGCTGCATTTGTGGCTTCTTTGCAGTAGATAGGCAAGGATTACTACTGACTCCCATTTTCCTTGCTGTTACTTTCTTTCTGAGGCCATTTTGTATGTGTTCGTGTGTGCATTTGTAGTAACTAGAAGCTGAGTCAAGCCTTATATCCATAAGATCAGTGCTGAATCTGGCACAAAACAGGTTTTGTTTGGTCTTAATTAGTTATATTTCTATTCTGATTGTGTGAGTGAAAGGTGCTACATGTGGCTGCACTCTTTTTGCCCACTTTATTTTCCCCACAACCATCCCTAGGCTGAGAAAGAATTAAGTGGCCCAAGGACACCATGGCCTAGAAGTCTCCCAAGTCCCAGTCCAGCACTCTGGCCACTATACCAGACTCCTGGCCTGTGGAAATAGGGTTAGAAAATATATTAGCTGGGCTTCCTATGGAAATAAGCATTTCTACAGTTCCTATCACTAGCACTGGAATGAAGCATACCTCAAAAATCTGTGCCTTTCCAAAATTTTCGAGAGAACAAAATGCACACAGATCCATGCATAGATTTCAAAAATGTGTACAGCTAAAACTATACATTCAGGGGGAAAGTGCTCAAGCATGATTTAGTCAATGGAAAATGTGCATAAAATGTATGTTAGCATATTGCATTCCACAATTCATAATTCTTAAAATGCTTACAAAATTGCAATCAGATGTTCACGTGGGAAGAAAAATAATGCTTTTAACACTCCAGTCCAGAACTGGGGTGGAAGAGGAATGCCAGTGGGATGCTGAGAAATGTAGTGAGACGGATACTGAGAGATGTTCCTGTCCTGCTGTGCAGCAGCTCAGTCCACTGACCCTTCGGCGCTACTTTCTCAGTGTGACAATGCACTATGTCCACCACCTTACCTTCAGCTGAGACCACAGTTCTCTTGCTTCTCTGTCTCCATAATCTCTTTCAATCAGATCCATTTGGGCTTGAAGGCGGTGGCGGGTAAAGAACGTAGGCCAGTCACTTTGCCATTCGTTCACCTAAAACAAATCAAGATTTAGGAAATCACCGTAAAAGAATGCCACGGAGTGCAACATGGCATCCCTGTCATCACTTTCCACAGCCAATTCAGCTAATAGTTTTTTCAACTCTTTTTACAGCCACGATATCCCAAAGGGGAAAAAGTAATCTGCGCACTGTCGATTGTATTACCAGAAAAAAAAATCTGTATTTCCGATAATAATACAGATGTTGATACAGAAAACACTATAAGGGGTTAAAATAGGTTTACCACCTCATAAATGCCAGGTTCTACAGCGGTGCCTCGCATTACGATGTTAATTCGTTCCAGCGAAATCACTGTAGAATGAAAACATTGTAATGCGAAAATAAAAAGCCCATTGAAACGTATTGAAACCCCTTCAATGCGTTCCAATGGGCTGGAAACTCACCGTCCAGCGAAGTTCCTCCATAGGGCGGCCATTTTCGGTGCCTGTGCAGCAAGGAATCCGTCCCAGAAAGCAGTGGGGAGCCATTTTATTTACCCAGCGGCCATTTTGAAACTGCCGATCAGCTATCCGAAAATCATCGTTTTGCGAAGAATCGGTTCCCGAAGCAGGGAACCGATCATTGCAAAGCGAAAAACCCCTATTCGGACTATCTTTTTTCGATCACAAAAATGTCATAATGCGGTTTCGTCGTAATGCGGGACAATCGTAAAGCGGGGCACGACTGTATTTTAATACAGACATTTTCCACTGGGGAGCTCAGTTACTTCATCAGATATACTCTAATACAGAAAGTCAAATGGAAGAGTGAGCTTGTTTAAATTACAGGAAAGGAGATTTTCACATGTTAGGAAGAACTTCCTAAAAATGAGAGCTGTTTTGACAATGGCCTGGGATGCCTTATAGAGGTGGTGTCTTATCCTTCACTGGAGGTATTTAAACAGAGGTTGGGCGACCACCTGATAGGGGTGCTTTAAATCGAGGTTTCCTGCTTTGACAAGGGGCTGGATTCAATTGCTGCAGCCATTTCCAGCCCTAGTCTTCTATGAGCCTGTGGTTCTATAATACTTGTATCCATATCGCAAAGAATGTAACATTCCCATATAGTAAATAATGTAATGATCCACTTCTTGTGCTGGACAAAATTAGCCTTTATCAATGTACCCAAGACATAAGGAAAATGAAGTTCTGTTTGATTTCAGATATGACTTGGGAGAAGATAACCCCTCTATTTAATGAGAGCTAGTTGAAATATTTTGTTGTAGAATAAGTATTTAAATTAGTGGAACCAAAAGTCCCTGTTAATAGTGAGTGGAAAATGAAACAACTAACTTAAACCCAAGAAATTGCAACGTCTTGTTCTTAAAAATCAAATCCATTAGTCATCTTTGTATCTCATGTCATTCTGTGCAAATCCAGAACCTACCTGAGTTATAAAACCACAGCAAGTAACGATATGGAATCCAAATTTATCCACATGGCACGGTTCTATCTGGCCTGCACCTTTCCCTGTCAAACCAAGCAAGCCAAATAAAAGATTAAATGCATTAAAAACAAAGAATACACCTTTGCCTTGTTTTCAGAACAATCCTGTCTGTGTCTAGTCATAAGAAAGTCCTGTTACATCTAAAGTAGAGAAAGCTGCATACACTTTTCTGTGAATAATTCCCCACGTTAGTGCTTGCTTCCGAGTAGACATACAAGGAATATTCGTTAGGTTTGTGCATCATTAATTGCAACACAGTTGTGCTTTTGACCAAAATGGAGAAGAAGGAATAAATGCAAAATATTATATGGAAGAAATGCTTGACAGTAATCTCAAAATGAAAAAATCTCTATCTGTTAAGAGGAGCATACATTGTAGTAGTAACCAAAGGAAGACTATATTTCTTATTTTAATAGTTTTAATACATTGCTATCTAAAAAGCATCTCAGATTTCATCTAAAAAGGTTGTGCTTAGGTCTAGTTAATTTACTTGCAATTGCAACTGAAACCCCATTTCTGTGTTTTGTAAACTCATAGCTTCCATATGGAATAAGGTGAGCATACTAATCCCTTCTTTTCCGCCATTATTTCCAAGAGGAGGCTTCTGTAACCAGGTAAGGCTCTCCATATGAGTCAGAAACCCATTTTTGTATGCATTTTGTGTCACACTGAGAGCCTACAAGGGTACAGTAACTCCCTGTCTTCAGACTCTTACTTTCACATGTTGAAAGCAAGATGGGAGGAGAAAAGCACACTGGACGGGAAGGAGTGCTTAATACTCATGATGACTGATGAACAACTGAAAAGGGCTTAACTTTTCTTGGTAGAAATTATCAGCTGAGGTAGGAGTGAGTGGCATGGCTGCCAGATGGTGCAGGGTATAAATCTAATAAATAAATAAATTAGTGTTAGGGTGAATTTATACTCTACCAATACTCTACCAACTGTGTTTTCTTCCTTCTTTAATTTTTCGCTAAGTTTTTTGTTATAGAGGTGAAGATCGGCTATCTGCTCTCCAAGTTTTGCAGAGTATCTAGAAGAAATTTAAAAAGACATGATGGGTCAGTGGGTTTCAATGTCCTCCTGAAAACACACACTCGATTTATCACAGCAATAGATTTCACATATAAATGCACATTATAGAAGAACCTGAAAATCAAACTAACGTTTACTTTAAGGATAAATGGGAAGGTCTGGAATGAGTGGATTTTGAATTAGCTTTATTCAGAAATGTAAATCACCAAAACAGCTCCTACAGAATACAAAAATGCGTAAGTAGTAATTCTGTATATCACATAGCATTTTAATGTTTAGCAGTTAAGTACAAAAATGTCCAAGTAATCAATCCTTAAAAAGACTCAAGCAGAAATTTGAAAGTCAATAAAATTGCAACCTATACCTATCTATGGAAATAAATCTTGGCAGAGGCCAACTGTATCATGAAGGAATAGGTAAAATCTTCTGGGATGGCTGAGAAACCTCTTCTTTTCTGAGACACATTTTGCAATGATAATCCTTTAGGTTTATCTGTCAGGAGGTACATAGGTGTGGCCAGAGCCAAAAGTGAATAGGAATGTTTTTCTCTCTCTCTTTCTGCCCTTCTCTTTGTTTCTGGCACCTCTCTTTCTGACACTCTTTTCTCTGTATCTCTTGTTTCTTCCCTCCCTCCCCCCAAGTGAGCTTTCTGGGAGAGGGACAAATCCTTCCTGCCAAAAAATATGAAATGTCACATGCAGAGAGCTTTTAAAACTAGGCCATGGGGTGCATGCAGCCAACTCTTTTCTTATGGAAAATAAACACACACACACACACACGTACACACGTACACACGTTCCTGTTTCGAGCTACCCTGTCAAAGTGGAACTGTTGCAAATGTCTGAGTGAGAAAGTCCTTACATAGCTATAGCTGGTGCAGAAATGGCCTCTGAACAGATATGCGTCCATACTTAATTCAAGATGGAATGGCAAACCAGATCAAAGTTTTAAGATCTTTATAACTATTAAGAACCTTGTGAAGTTTGAAAGCTAGTCATTGGCCTCGTAAGCTGCTCACCACTGCAGCCAAAACATTTTCGTACTAAACAGAATGGACATTCTCAAACCTCTGATAGCTACATATAATTGTCAAGACACAGAGATACATGTCAAAGGAAGTAAAGAGAGAAATTCCCTCCTGGCGCAACTTCATTGGATTCGTTTCACAACATGATATGGATGTGAGCTTGTTAATTTCCTAAAATTTATTTCACTTCCAGGAGATGTTATTTACAAGCAATAAAACTGATCCCTCTTTCAGACTTGCCACAGAGAAACAACAGAACACAGATATCTAGCGAAGCAAGACGTTACGAGGAGAGGGTGGCGTTGAAACATACTTATTGAGACTCTTCATCTTTAGGTGCTCCATAGCAAACACAGCTCCGCCTCCAGGAAGGTCGATCACTTTAATTGGTTTTGGAACCCGCACAGTGTTGGTCTGCTGAATGGCTATTAAGCTAGCCATTTCTCCCTCGAACATTGTCCTCGCCTGTTCAGAAAGAATACAACTTTAAATATATCTTTAGCTGCACATGTGGATAGCAGATGCTTAGCTAGCTTGTTTTGGGACTGTGGGCATCTGTGTATTCTTTAAACCATACATTTAGAGTTCTTAAACGTTTATTTATATCCCACTTGTCTTCCACTGAGCTCAAAGATTTATACATCTCTGTCTTCCTCTTCACTTTAATCCTCAGAACAATCCTGTGAAGTAGATCTAGCTCAGGAGCAGCAAGTACTGCCCCCCTCCTCCCGGTCTGGTGACTGGGTGAGTTTCATGGCTGAATGGGAACCTACATCTGGATATCACATGTTCCACCCCAACACTTTAAGCCAGTGGCTCCCAACCTGGGCTCCCCAGAGGTTCTGGGACTATACCTCCCAGAAATCTGGGCCAGCACAGCTATTGGTGAAGGCTTCTGGGAGCTGCAGTCCAGGAACCTCTGGGGACTCAAGGTTGGGAACCACAACTTGATGTGTTTCAGTAGGTGGGTTTCAGTAGCCCTGTGCATGTCAGGCAGACATATAACTTATTTAGGTTTGTATCCTGGACTAGCCCAAGGAATAATACTAAATGCTGAAATAGAATCCACCATTGGGAAGAAACAGACTTCCATAACGTGTGGATACGATAACACGGGTCGTCAACCCCGGTCTGCAACCCGGTGCCAGTCTGCGGGCATGCACATGGGGAAGTGTGTCAAGCTCACGGGGGTGACGTGTTGCACTCACGGTGGGTGTGTCATGCTTGTGCGGTGGGTGTGTCATGCTTGTGTGTGACATGTCCCCTGCAGGTGCAACATGCCCATCGCATGAGTTTGGGGGATGCCCCCGCGCATGGAGCTTGCTTCCCCCAACTGGTCCGTGGCCCCAAAAAAGTTGGGGACTGCTGCGCTAATAGATAAGTAATCTCGTGGCCCCAAAAAGGTTGGGGACTGCTGTGCTAATAGATAAGTAATCCACTTGCCTTTTGCACAATATTGGGAAATATTTGCTAGCAATCAGAACTTTGACATGTTATTGGAGATACAAACATTCTCTGAAATGGATCTGCACACTTGCTCACACAGGGCCTATGAGAACAAGGGAGAAAAGGGCCAAAACCCTGTTCCTTAGTATAGTACATTACCCAGAGCAGACCCACTGAATCAATGGGACTACTTTAACTGTGACTTACTGTAGCAATAAGCTGCAGTTAGTGTAAACCCATTTGAATCAGTGGAACTTATGGAGAGTTGACTCACAAAATCCCCATTGATTCAGTGGGTCTGCTATAGGGCAATGTACTACACTAAGCAACAGGGTTTTGCTTACTGTCTTAGAATAAGACAGACCAACTCATGAATGATAGTTTTACTCCACTTCAGATGTCAATTAACATCATACCAAGTGCTTGGAAAAAGGAATGCCAGATTGTTGTGGCACAAGACAGGAGACTCTTTAAAGCATAATAAAAACATAAAGATCTTGCAACATGTAATCCAAAATGTGCATGTTTTGATTTGATCACACACTGATATAAAATCTTCTGGTCACTGGGAGCAGATGACCCAGTTAGACAGTTAATCTAGATGTGCATCCCTATTTAGACAGCATCAAACCCATCCCCCACAGTTGTCCTCAAATAACTAAAGAAGATAAGAGCCCTGCTGGATCAGGCCAAGGGTCCATCTAGTCCAGCTCCCCGTGTCTCACAGTGGCCCCACCAGATGCCTCTGGGAGCACACAAGACAACTAGATACCTGTCTCCTGATACCCCTCCCCTGCATCTGGCACGTTAAGGTACCTTCCTTCCATCGTGGCTCATAACCTGCCATGGACTTTTCCTCCAGAAATCTGTCCAATCTCCTTTTAAAGTCATCTAGGCCAGAGGCCATCACCACCTCCTGTGGCAAGGAGTTTCACAGACTAACAACACGCTGGGTCAAGAAATATTTCCCTTTGTCTCTTCTCACTCTCCCAACACTCAATTGGAGTGGATGTCCCCTGGTTCTGGTATCCAAACGCCGCTGAACCGGGGAGTCGCTAGCCAAGGGGCCTAGAAGCTCTTTGCAAGACCTCTCTCCTCGCCAGGGCGATTCGTCTTCACGCCTCCCACCCACCCCCCGACAACATATGAGAAGTCTGCAAGGTCAAAGGCACCCCCACCGCTTCCCGCCCTTGCAGCTTTCAAGCCTCTCCCGCCCCGCAGACCCTGCAGCTTTGCAAGCGACCAGTGACGGGAGGGCTGTCAAGAGGGTCGTTAACCTGAGGTTTGCTGTTGACTTTAACAAACACTCGCCCGTGGTCGGTTTCATAGCTCTGCCCGTGGCTAATGCACCCTCCGCCCGAGCTGCCAAATGCCTTCAGCACGGTGGTTTTCAATTCGGCTTTCAGGAGTTTTTCCATGGCTGGTCCAAACGTTGCAGGATCCCAGTCCTTCGGCCTCTCAGTAGGACAGGCGAGCCTTATCTCTTCCCGGGTTTAAAAATAAATAAATAAACATACACACACTCACAGAGAGAGAGAGAGAGAGAGAGAGAGAGAGAGAGAGAGAGAGAGAGATTATATGCAAGCTGACAGGCAGCCCACAGGAGCGAGGAGGGGGGGTGCGTTTGCAAAACTGCGCGCTAGTAAAAGGAACGCCGATTCAGGAGAATGGCGCCCTCATCTATGTCGGAGGAAAGCTTAATTATGCTAAAAAATAAATTGCAAAATATCGGATGGTATCAAAGTCAACACGATTGCCAAGTCCGTCTCGGGGGCCTTCGGAGGCTGCCCTGAGAGATTCTGGTACTTGTAGTTCGCCAGCCTGATTTCACCCCCCCCCTCACGCGCTTTTGACTCGCGCCCCCTGCCCGCCGCTGTCGCGTGTCCTCCTGCGGTCATCCCATAATTATAGATGACGTGCTAAAAGCACACCGCTAGGTGGAGCCCTCCTCAACTTATAAACCACCGTTCCAAGGCCTCCGAGAACTTGTCTGCGGATCGAGCTTGCAACCCGTTGTGTTGCCCGGGAGGGAGGGTAAGGGGGGGTGTATGCGCGCGCACGCGCAGGAGACATGTACATTCAAACAGCGAGGACGAAGCTGGAGAAGCAGACCTTCAAAACAGCTTTAGCTTTGCGAGGAAAGCATATTTCCACTTGTGCACTTCCCTGCATAATTGGTACAAGCTGTCTCCGGCTAGATTAATGTCTGTTTAGAATGGCCCTCTCTTTCTGCACTGTTGGCAACAACAGCAACAGCAGTTGAGTAATGTAGTTCCAAGTCCTGTTATTAAAAAGTAGTTAGAAGTGAGGGTTGCTGAATCTTCCCACTTAGGGGGGGGGGAAAGGCTATGGTTGTCAATCAAGATTTCTTGTGCACTGGTATTGGGTTGATTCCTACAGCAGGTGAATAGTTTCTTTTTAACGTACTCATCTTTCTTTAACAGAAATCATTAACTAGAATATAAATCGTACCAACGGGAGTGGTAGGCCTATTTTGCATAGTCTTTCTGCCCCCCTCCGCCCCTTAACCTCTTATCTTTTCCTTAAACCAGAGTAGGGGACGAGGAGACACATGCCTCAAAGGTAACAGGAAACAGTCTGCCAGGACTATACACAATCCAATTCTGGGGGAAACAGAATGGTGTGCGTGTACATTCATTCATTATTGGCAGAAACGCTGCCTGATCTCCACCGGTCAAATCTCTTTCTGATGAATTCTGAATTGGATAAACGACCTCCATCCCACTGAGCTCAAGCCAAGACAGAAAAATATACATGTTGCTGGATGTATGATATCGGGGTGTGTGCGTCCACACCAGACTTGCTGCTGAGATGGTGAACTGTGCATCTGTCTTAACCTGGGAGGGCCAGAAAAGGCTCTGGCCGAGGCCCTGAAAAGACCTTGTTATGATGTGCCGTGAGGTCGTTCCCAGTTTATGACCACCATCTGCACCAATAACTCCAAAATGTACTGTCATTAACAGCCTTACCCGGGGCTTACAAAGTTAATGGCCATGGATTCCTTTATTGGCTCCATCCATCTCATATTGTGAAAAATCCATACCGGTCAGACCATGCAGTCCTCAGACAGATGAGCCGGACTTATTTTAAGGCAACATTCCATTTCATTTTTCTATCTTACTCTCCGATGTACACCAAAACAGAGTGTTCCTTCCACAGTTGACGGGTCCTGCTTTCTGTGGTTGCCACAAGGTTGAGTCCATAATCACCCCTCACTTTGTCTGGAAATTGCAATGCTGACTAGTTCATGGCCAGAGGAGAGTAAGACACGTACTGTACAGATGCTGAGTCATTTCTTTATTGTTTGATGTGGTCAACTCTAGTCTAAGTTCCCCTTAATGTCTTATCTTAGGAGCTCATATACATCAACTGTGGTAATGAATCCTAGATTAGAGAGTGATTATGGAATCACTGTCCAGATGTAGTCCCAGGTCTAAACACGGAAGCTAACATAAGCCACATCTGGTTTCATCTGTACCATAAGCAATAGTAATGCCTAGTTTGGTTAACTAATTGAATTTGAGAGATAGCATCAGGTATATCATAGAGATATAAAAGCAATATCCCGCTAGATAAATTAAAATACACATTGATGCAGATTATCCCAGTGACTCCATCTACTTTTGCCCGACTGATGATACTTATATTGAAATAGGGTTGCTAAGCCCAAACCTTTTGTATAACAATAATTATCCAATATCCCCTATAGTTTAAGATTTTATTACAAAGCACGGTTAGAAGTAAAGTAGATAAAATGCTGGCCAATATAAAAGGATTAGGAGGTGCCGAGGGAGCAGCTAAATTGCTTATAAAACTAGTTTTTTTCAGAAGAGGAATTGATCAGGACAGTGGGATAAGCAGATGAAAAAAGAAAACAAATCCCTGGAGTTAGACTTTAGGCATATTCACTAAGCAAAGGAAGAGCAGGAAAAGGACAAACACACACACCCAGTGGGACAAAGATCAAAGGGAGTGTCATTTCATTGAGATGGCCTTTTTTGCCCTACAACAGGCATCTGGCACTGAGGGCCCATTCACCTAAAAAAGAGTCTGCTTTCCTATTGTGTTTTTGGACCTCAGAAAAAAAACCCACAAAGGGGACCAGCATCGTAACATTTACGTCCCTTTAAAGTATTTATTTTGCATTTCTATACTGCCTCCCTGCTGGTATTAAAGATGCCTAAAGTCTTCTACATGCAGTCAAAATGCAAACATAATATATAGGCATAAAACATAGACATACTGCAGTACAAAGAAGGAATGAGATTTTGACTGCATCTAGAAGGAAAATAAGCCAATTTAGGCACTGATTTTTCATAAAATTATGCAGTAGGATATAAACCTTGTTTTTTTAAAAAAACAGTGGTGTCTGATGAAGTCTGTACGAGAAAGACAACTTCATTCTTGCTCTGGTTGTGAATGCTGCTGTTATTGTTCAACTATTCCAACTGTTGTATGTTCTCTCTCTCTCTCTCTCTGCCCCTGCAGAGATCTCTTGTCTGGCAATATGATGTTGGCTGCACCAGATATCTTATCCTCAAGAGAACAGAGTATGTCCTAATCAGCAAAACAGATTGTGCCTTCTCCTGGTGGTAGGATGACTGAGGAAATCTGTGGGGAGATAATGTTAGGAATTGCCCAAGCTTCAAACCTTCAAGCAGCGGTTTCCAGTGCTTTTTTACTGTGTACCTCTTGGCAACCCATTTCTATAAATTGTACTTCCGTATTAACAAAATGTTTGCAATCAATATGGTTGCTGGTTGTTCTGGGTTTTTCGGGCTCTTTGGCCGTGTTCTGAAGGTTGTTCTTCCTGACGTTTCGCCAGTCTCTGTGGCCAGCATCTTCAGAGGACAGCAACCTGTATATGGTTGCTGTTATTTCAATGTATACGTTGTAACTGTAAATTAGTAGCCCAATAATGGGATTAAAAAGCAGTGGAATAATATGGTGAAGAGACAATATATTTGCACTCAAAAATCAAAAGACACAATGAATTCAAGTAAATACATTACGGAGGACCCGGAAGGATTTGCTCACTGAACACTGTTCAAGGACTGCCTGAGGTGGCCGCTTATATATAAGTGGTGCCTCGCGGAAATCACTGTCTTGTGAAAACATCGTCTTGCGAAACCAAATTTCCCATAGGAATGCATTGAAAATTAATTAATGCGTTCCTAGGGGAAATTTTTTTAAAAAAGGACCTTAAGGGGTAGGGAGCTGGGCAAGCACCATGAGAGGACTGGCGGGGGGTCCCCTCGCTGGGAGCTGGGCAAGCACCATGAGAGGACTGGCGGGGGGCCCCCTCGCTGCGATCACCAGCTTTGGAAGCCCCCCGCCAGTCCTCTGATGGTGCAGGAAAAGCCTCCAAAGCGCTCTAGAGCCTGCGCGGGTGGTTTTGGGGCACCCCCGCCAGGGCTCTAATGGTGTAGGAGAAGTCATCAGAACCCTGGTGGGGGAGCCCCAAAACCACATGCCCCGGCTTTGGGGGTCCCCCGGGGCTTACCTTGCACCATGGGAGGACTCGCCCAGGACCCTCTGCACAGCGATCGGCATTTGCAGAGGCTTGTCCGAAAACCTTTTAAAAGTTCCTTCCTTTTTCTCCAGCCTTCGGCAAGCCTCGGAAGGGAAAAATATCCCCACTGACCTTGTCCCTCCAAATGCTGGCTACATATCTGTACTCATCCTTGGTGAATGGCCCCTCCTGCCATTTCCTACACATTTTTAAAATCTCAGTTTGCCTGAATTCCCTTATGAAGCCAATTCAGGTTTTTTTAGATGCTTCCACACTAATTTCTTACTAGAATTTGTTTGATTGTGCCTTCAATAGCTCATCATCAAAAAACTGCTATCTATCATGAAGTGCCTTCACTTAGAGTGTTTTTGATTATGAGATCTCCTCCAATGTTTCTTTACGCTAATGGAAATCAGCTTTCTCAGAATGTGCATTATACTATCCTCAGCTTTCTTTTTGCACAGTATAACAGATCGAATGAAGTCAGGGCCTCTTTCCTCAAAGTTCCCATTACTTCCAATTCATTGACCAGTTCTTCCTTGTTAACAAGGGCCTGGGATATTTCACCCCTAACTTTCAGGTTTCCAAAGCTGCTGATTCATTTCAAAGTCTGTCCCACCAACATACAATATGTCACATAGTGATTATGTATGTATGAGGTCAAAATGCCTCTCATTTAGGAGGCCTGGTTGAACTTCCATTGAACTTTGTGGTTTATATGCATAGTTCAGGACCTTTGTGATATGTGTTTACCATACAAGGTTCACAGTGTTTCAAAGCTTCACTGGTATTCAGGCTGTCACTCATGCTACAGAAAAGGTCATTACCAATTTGCATTTTCTAATTTATTTAAATATTGTTTATAATTATCTAGAAGTTGAGTCATGGCAACTGAACTTCTTTCTTATTAGGCTGAAATGTTTCGCTACTCATCCACGTAGCTTCTTCAGTCTGAGGAGAGTTGATAGGAGACCCCTGATATATCCTCCACGTTGGTTTCAATTTCCCCCTGGTCTGAATTGGTTCCTTAGATGAACAA